CAAGGTCCCAGGTTGGGATTCAGTGTGGAATATGATTCAACTCTTCAGAAGTGGAAGGAACAACTGAGGGACCAGGTCCCTACCAGTTCTCGAGGAAACTGCACGAAGTCAACTTTCCAGCTGGAAAGTTGTTGCCTGCACACGCTACAGTGCAGAACATCGTTGTAGTCAACTTTCCAAGGAAGACTTTTTATCCGCCTTGCTTACATCATTGTAAGTGGTGTCACACATGTATATATGCGTTCAAGGGAGGTAAAACAAATCACTTGAACATTTGACAAGCTCATTAACGTGACTATCCAGCAAGCAAGTTTCAATTGCTTCAAGAACAAAGAACAAAACAACTACGGACCGGTTCCCACATAGAGTTATTGTATGTCCTTAGTTGAGTTGTAACTTTGGAATAGTTCTTTACTTGTAATTCCTATCTAGCTTGTTTAGAAGCATTCTACAGGAACCCATTTGTAAACCTTAAACCAGTGTGTTTGAGTCTTGGCTAGAGTTAGTCATGTTGTAAAGTCTTTGTAATAGAGTTATTACAAAATGGCTTGTAATAGAGTATTACAAGTTAGAGAGGGATTAAGAGGTTAATTCCTAGGTTTCATAGGTTGTAATCTAAAAGTTGCTCAGTAGTGAAGTTAAAATCCTACAAGGGTAGGTCGTGGTTTTTAATCACGTTGAGCTGGAAATTTTTCACGGAAAATTCCTCTTGCCATTTAATTACTGATGTGTGTGTACTGTTGGACCTGATAGAGAACCTAGTTTTCTATAGAGTTTGGTGGACCCTTATATTCTATCACTCCAAAGTCTGCTGAATTTTCTTCCTTGATTGCGGTCGTAGATGGAATTCTGTTGTCCGCACTTTGTGAGTTTCTGTACATGTTATTGCCTTTTTTTAGATTACTCCTTTTTTAGTCGGATTTCATCTCGAGAACTCAATTTCCATCATTCCTATAATTTTACACTATTTGATCAGTTTCGGGGACACAATTCAATACTTTTAGACTAAAAAAAATATGCTAATAAGAAGTCAAAATCCCCACTTATCATATATGCACATCATTCTTTTTTTATTTGACGATCTACACATGATATATTTTATATTGTACAAATGCCAATAATATGTAAACGTAATATATTCACATTTTTTTAAGATATGCACATGATATCTTTCGTATGGCTCCCAACAAGACTCTTGCTCAAGTGCCAGAGAGCGAACGTAAGAAAGACAAATTCAGAATTACCGAAATGTTAATGTGTAATGCTATGGGCAAGATATATTTTTAGAAATAGGTTTAGTTTATTGAAATTTCTTAAAATTGAAATGCTTAATTATTTCAAACTAGTATTGATAATGTTCATTTATTTCTTTGAAATATTTAACTTGATTCTTAGTTGATTGATTTGCATTAAAAATTTCTAAATTTAAACTCAAAATTAAATCCAAAATTTATTAAATTATTTTTTCACTTGTACTCCATTGCAGGGAAAGAGAAACTAAAACCTCTAGTGATTGGAATTGTTGCTAAACCTCATTGTTATAAGAATGTAGATATGGCCTCCTTGTCACACATCAATTATTTTTATAACAAGAAAGCATGGATGACTCGTGAAATTTTCAAAAAATACATGCTTAATCTGAATGCTAAATTTGAAGATGAAAATCGCAAGATTATATTGTTGATGGACAATGCTACTGATAGTAGCCTATATTATGCGATGTAGATGCTATTTATGCTCTAAATTAACCATACTTAATTGATGTTTTAAGTGCTAAATGATAACAACATGCTCTAATTGAGATTTTTATACTTTGCATGAGCTAATCCGAGTTAGGAGGAGGATATAGAGTGTTTTGGGATCAAAAAATGAAGATACAAGGCCAATCGAGAAGAGCCCGGATGAAAACGAGCAAGAAAAGGCGATGAAAAACTGGGCAACAGTCCATCACGACCGCGGTTGGGCCGCGGTGAAAGAAACGCAAAAAACAGAATAGTCAAAAACGACTGCGGTCGGACCGCGACCGCGGTCGATCTGGAGAAGGCCAAGAAAATTTAAGGGCTAAAGTGTAAAGCATGCAAAACTTATCCTAACTCTATATAAACTCAACAAACTCGCCCAAGTCAAGGTTAAGCTTGTTTTTAGACTCAATTGGAGGCAAGAACAAGTGTGAGAAGATCAAGACACCGTTAGAGTTTTTCATTCTTCTACTTGTTATCATTATTTTGTGAATTATGAATGATTTTATGGTTTTATCTTGTTTTACCATGAGTAGCTAAACATTCTAGGGTTGATGGAACCAATTGTTAGATGAAGTTTTGACTCAGTTTTGTTACAATCGAGCCGCGTTTATTATATGATTGTTCAACTATGTTTTGTATGGTGATTAATTGAATGGGCCCTTGGTTAATTGTGTCTAATCGCCTTGTGTTGCATGAGAAAGAATACTAGGTTAGATTGTTATTGAACAACACCCCTTTTGGATAATTGAAGAGATTCATTACTTGAATTTAAAAGTGAGGTTAGAGATAACGAAACTTTGGTAGGATAATTCAGAGCTGCATAAATTATCAGCTAGAGTAGTTCGAGAGAATGCTCTAGTAAATTATCATAGTTGATCGAGAGATAATTGCGGTAACCCATAGCTCATAATCCTCATAGAGTATTACGGCGAGATTATAGCAAAAGAGTTAAGAATTAATCTACCAATTGGGGAAGTCAATACCCTAGATCCTTTTACCATTGAATTATCTTTAATTTGGAATATTGTTAGTTTTAATATCATTTTACTTTAGTTAAACAAATCCCAATATTTATTAATAAAAATCTTGCATCCGGGAATTGGTTGAGCTGGTACTAGCATAACTAAGAGTTGTAATAGATAGGTTAGTTCCCTGAGTATTCGACTCCGGACTTGTAAACCAGATTATATTTGCAATGATCGCGTTGTCTTTTATAAGGCATAGTTGGGCGTGATCAAATTTTGGTGCCGTTGCCAGGAAACTAACGGTGTTATTTATTACAACTTAGAAGTAGTGCTAGAATTATTAGTTTAGATCAATTTTCTACGGTGTTAAATAATTTTTCATTGAAATTCTCACGTTTGAACTCTTGTGTGATTTAGGTGTATGCCCAGAGATTCTTCGAGGACTGCTGAACTGCTTGAAGGACTCTCAGACCCCGAGAAAACATTCAGGGCATTAAACCGTGCCAACAAGAAGAACAAACAATCACAACAAACACACCAACTCGCAACAGAAATGGACAACAGGGAAAACATCAATGCAAATAATCGGGCACCTCTTGTGCTGGACGAAGGAGTGCCAAACGAAGTAGTGGTGGCACCTCTTGTGCCAGAAGCTGCACTTTATGATTGGGCACAACCAACAGCTGACAACCTGGCCACCGCCATTGCTGTGCCCCAAATACAAGCGGAGACATTCCAAATCACCAACAACATGCTGCATCTTCTGCAGAATAAGGGATTGTTCTCCGGGTCACACATTGAAGACCCTCAACAACACCTAATAAATTTTCTATCGATTTGTGTGACCCAAAGGCAGCCAAATGTGACCCTAGAAGCCATCAAGCTGTTACTGTTCCCATTCTCTATGACCGGGGAAGCTCAGACTTGGCTGAATTCGGTCCCAATAAATTCCATTGCCACTTGGGAGGAATTAGTCAAGCAGTTCCTGAACAAGTTTTACCCGCCCAACAAGACTGCAAGACAGATTGATGAGATATTGCAGTACAAGCAGACGCCCACTGAGACCTTGCAGGAAACTTGGGAAAGATTCAAAGGGATGCTAGTGAAGTGTCCCCATCATGGTATTCCAGACCAGATGCTCGGCCAGAGATTCTACATGGGGTTAGCAGACAATTTAAAAGCCAATGTAGATGCTACAGCTGGGGGTGCATTCCTGAGCAAGACATTCACAAAGTCTAAAATCCTTCTTGACAAGATGGCCCAGAATTCGGAGTGGATGACGAGAGGTACGACCCTGACACCAATAGTGCATTCAGTTCCTCTTGACCCAAATAATTCACATGCAGAGAACATAGCCACACTCATGACTCAGATGAGTATACTGACAAAGCAGATTGATGAGATGGGTATAAAGCAAGTGCATATCGTTGACACAACAAATGGAGGACTGTGTACACCTTGCATTAATCAGTCTTATGTGTGTTCATGGAGTGGAGAAGGTGACAACCAAGGGTTTAGAGAGGATATGAATTATGTCAACAATTTTGGGGGTCAGAGGCAAGGAGGACAATAATGGGGACCGGCACCCAACCAGCAGTACAGACCGAACATGCCACAACCTGGAGGTATGCGACCCCAAGGCCAAATGGTGCCATATCAGAGACAACAGGGCTATCAACAGTAGCACCAGCAACAGTTGACATATCAACCACCTCATCAGCAACAGGACAACAACATGGTAGAAATCAGGGGTATGATGCAACAACTCATTGGAACAAATGGTAAGATGCATGAAAAGTTAGCAGTGCATGACTCAGCAATTAAGGGTATTGAAACTCAACTGGGGCAGCTGTCCATGGCCTTAAATAACCACCCCCAGGGAACATTGACAGCCGACACAAAAATTAACCCCAAGGAGCAAAACCCGAATCAGCTGATGGCAGTAAGCCTCCTGAATGAGAAATATTTAGACAGGGAGTAAGAAGTTGCTCAATCCAGAAGAGAGACTACACCGACCACTCTAGTTCCATTAGAGATAGATGAATCAGTAGAACTCACTGAAGTGGTGGTTGAACATGCTCAGGTTGATAAGGGTAAGGCTAAAGAAAGTGAACAGGTTGCAGAATAGGTGGTACCTCTTGTTCCACAAAATTCCAACAAAGAACAGCCAGTAAGCAGTGGACAAAGAGTGATGCCTGCACCATTCCCTCAGAGACTGGCAAAACAAAAGAAAGAAGATCAATACAGGAAATTCATAGAGATGCTTCGTCAGATTTAATTGAATATCCCTCTGATGGATGCTTTGAGGGAAATGCCAGGCTATGCAAAAATAATGAAGGACATGATGTCACAGAAATTTGACTTTCAGGACCTGTTCACAGTAACTCTGACACAGACATGCAGCGCAGTAGTGGCAAGACCTATGTCTCAAAAGATGTTTGATCCAGGTAGCTTCACTATTCCGTGCACTATTGGGAGTTATGCTTTTGCAAAAGCATTGTGCGACTTAAGAGCCAGCATAAACTTGATGCCTTTGGCAATATATACGAAACTGGGCATTGGCAGAGCTAGACCAACTTCGATGCTGTTGCAACTGGCTGACCGCATGGTTAAAAGACCGACGGGGATTCTTGATGAAGTGCTGGTACAAGTGGGAAAGTTTGTATTCCCTGCAGACTTTGTTATTCTCGACTGCCAGGTAGATGAGGAGATACCCATCATTCTGGGGAGGCCATTCTTAGCCACTGGGAGAGCATTGATTGATTGTGAAACTGGGGAATTAAAAATGAGGTTGAACGATGAAGAAGTAATATTCAACGTTCAATAATCCATGAGGAGACCCAGTTAATATGCAAATTGCTCACTAGTGGAAGCTGTGGATGTGATCCTGTATGAAGACGATGAGACCCTGAATGCCAAAGATCCATTGGGAGCTTGCTTGACAAATTTAGAGGAGATGGATGGTGAAGGGTTGGCAGAGTGGGTCATGGCACTCGAAAGACAAGGATTCTGGAAGGGGGAACCTGAGTTCGAGCCCCTTTATTTAGAAGAGAGAGCTACACCACCTGCAAAACCATCAATAGAGGAACCACCACAGCTGGAGTTGAAACCGCTTCCAGCCCACCTCAGGTATGCTTTCTTGGGTCCCAATTCTACTTTGCCTGTTATTATATCATCTCGTTTGCTAGCTATGCAGGTAGAACAATTACTACAGGTGTTGCAGGAATGCAAAACTGCCATTGGTTGGACCATGGCAGACATAAAGGATATCAGCCCGGCCTTCTTCATGCACAAGATTCGTCTGGAAGAAGGGCACAAACCTTCCAGGGAACATCAATGAAGGCTGAACCCGAATATGAAAGAGGTAGTAAAAAATGAGGTAATCAAGTGGCTGGATGCGGGCATCATCTTTCCCATCTCTGAAAGCAATTGGGTAAGCCCCGTCCAGTGTGTACCGAAAAAAGGTGGAATGACAGTTGTACAAAATCAGAAAACGAGTTGATCTCGACTCGTACAGTCACACGGTGGCGAATTTGCAAAGATTACAGGAAATTAAACGCAGCCACCCGAAAGGACCATTTCCCCTTGCCCTTCATTGACTAGATGTTGGACAGGTTAGCTGGGCGATCCCATTTTTGTTTCTTGGACGGATACTCGGGGTACAATCAGATCTCAAAAGCCCCGGAAGATAGAGAGAAAATGTCCTTCACATGTCCGTATGGCATCTTTGCCTTTCGGAGGATGCCCTTTGGACTTTGCAATGCACCGGCCACATTCCAGTGGTGTATGTTAGCCATTTTCACCGACATAGTCGAAGACATTATGGAGGTGTTTATGGATGATTTCTCCGTGGTAAGGGATTCATTCGAAGATTGTCTTCTCAACCTTAAAAGAGTGCTCAAACGATGTGTGGAGACAAATTTGGTGCTGAACTGGGAGAAGTGCCATTTCATGGTACAAGAAGGCATAGTGTTGGGGCATAGAGTGTCCAAAAAGGGGATTGAAGTAGACCATGCAAAAGTTGATATGATTGAGAATCTCCCAGCACCCACTTCAGTGAAAGCAGTGAGAAGTTTCCTTGGGCACGCCGGATTCTACAGGCGGTTCATCAAGGATTTTTCAAAAATTGCTAACCCCTTATGTAAGCTGCTTGAAAAAGACCAGCACTTTATGTTTTTTGATGATTGCAGGTTAGCATTTGAGGAGCTGAAGAAGAGATTGGTGACTGCATCCATCATTGTTGCACCCAACTGGGAGCAACCATTCGAGCTGATGTGCGACGCCAGTGATTACGCTATAGGAGCGGTTTTGGGGCAGCGCAAGGAAAAAATTATGCACCCAATTTACTATACAACTGAACTACACGATCACGAAAAAGGAAATGCTCGCTGTAGTGTTTGCCTTCGACAAATTCAGGTCATACCTGATTGGCTCGAAAGTTATTGTTTATACTGACCATGCATCCATTAGGTACTTGATAGCAAAGAAGGAGTCAAACCCCGCTTGATTTGCTGGGTTCTGTTGCTACAAGAATTTGACCTGGAAATTTGTGATCGAAAGGGGACAGATAACCAAGTAGCAGACCACGTCTCGAGGTTGGAAGGGGCAGGAAAGAGAACGGAGGTTGAAGATATCATTGAGACATTCTCGGATGAGCAATTACTTGTTGTGACAATGGAGGAGGCACCATGGTATGCTGATATTGCTAATTACTTAGCATGTGGTATTGTACCTCATGATCTCTCCTTAATTCAAAAGAAAAGAAATTTCCGTGATTGTCGGGCGTATTATTGGGATGAACCTCTATTGTTCAAACTATGTGTTGATAACATGATCCGACGGTGTATCCCCGAGCAAGATCAACCCTTTGTTTTGCAGGCTTGCCATGCTGCGCCATATGGCGGACACTTTGGAGGAATTCGGACAGCGGCAAAGGTGTTGGAATCAGGCATGTATTGGCCTACATTGTTCAAGGATGCCCATGCTTGGGTCAGAAGCTGTGATGAATGTCAAAGGACGGGCAACATATCCCGACGTCATGAGATGCCAATGACCATAATCAAAGAGGTGGAAGTGTTTGACATGTGGGGGATCGACTTCATAGGGCCTTTCGTCAGCTCATATGGTAACAAGTATATACTGGTTGCCATTGACTATGTCTCCAAGTGGGTCGAAGCAGTTGCTCTCCCAACCAATGAGGCAAAAGGGGTGACCAGTTTCCTAAAGAAAAACATCTTCACACGTTTTGGCACCCCCTGAGCCATAATCAGTGATGGTGGCTCTCATTTTTTCAATAGAGCATTTGCACGCCTGTTGGAGCAGGGAGTTCGCCACATGGTAGCCTCACCATACCACCCATAAACAAGTGGGCAGGTGGAAGTGTACATAGGGAAATCAAAAGTGTCCTCTCAAAAACAGTGAATGCAACAAGAACTGATTGGGCAAAGAAGCTGGATGATGCATTGTGGGCATACCGCATAGCCTTCAAAACTCTAATTGGTATGTCACCATACAAGTTGGTATTTGGAAAGGCATGCCACCTTCCGGTTGAGCTCGAACACAAAGCACTGTGGGCATTGCGACAACTGAACTTAAACATGGAGACAGCGGGCACCAACAGAGTTAATGGGTTGCATGAGCTTGAGGAATTTCGGTTCCAGGCATTCGAGAGTGCTAGACTATATAAACAAAGGATGAAACTGATGCATGACAAGCACATCTTGAATTGGAACTTCAAACCCAGAGAATTAGTGCTGCTATATAACTCAAGATTGAGGTAGTTCCCAGGTAAGTTGAAGTCCTGATGGTCAGGACCGTTCAGAGTGGTGGAATTGTTTCCAAGTGGAGCTGTGGAGGTCGAATCTGAAGATGGGACGAACAAATTCACATTGAATGGGCATAGTTTGAAACATTACCTTGGAATGATTGAAGAAAAAGGGGACAGCGTGGTGATAACGTTGGAGGAGCCCGAATACACAAATGAGGAGTGATGACATGAGCCTGCGTCGTGCCGCGACGTTAAATCAGGCGCTGCGTGAGAGGCAACCCATTTTTTTCTTTTGTTTTGATGTTGTACTTGATGTACATGATACTAACCCGTTTATTAGTGTACAGGGCAAGATTAGTGCATAGTGGGAGAAGTCGGGGTCAAGAACCAACTCCGGAAAGGTAAAAAAAAATTTTGAAAGCCCGTGACCGCGACCGCGGTGGGACCGCAGCCCAGGCGCGACAATTTGGACCTATTCTGTCTCTGGGCCACCATGACCACGGTTGGACCGCGGCACGGGCGCGGTGAATTGCAACTATTCTGTTTTGCTTTTCTTTTTTCACCACGACTGCGGTCGAACCGCGACCCGGACGCGGTGAATTGCGACTATTCTGCCCGCCCAGGTAAGTTTCATTAATTTCGTTATTTTATTTTCTTTCTTTTTTTTATTTGTTTTTTTTTCTCTTCTAAACCTAACCGTACCCCCCTCCCCCCCCCACTTCTCCCACTCCTCATTTCTACTCTAAACCCTTAACCCCACGCCCCTTCTTCTCCTTCTCTTCCCATCTCTCACAAACCCATTTCTCCCCCCCCCCCCACACTTCCGACTCCTTCCTCCCCAACCTCCATTATACTCCAACTTTACAAGAACCAGGTATGTCATGATTTCCTTCTCTCTTCTTCTCCCCTTCTCTTTTGCAATTTTTAATGTTTGAGTTGTTGTAGTATCTATAGTTAAATTTTTGGTTTTCTTTTCTTCTTTTTAGTGGGTAATGTGTAGAATGTAGTAGAGAAGGGCATGGTGTTATTGTTTGAAGTTAATTGTGGTGGCTGGAGTTGTGAAGTGATTGTGGTTGATTTGGGGGGAGAGTTTGTACTTCCATGGGATAAGTGTGTTAAATCATAGTTCCATGCACACCAGGTGCTTGTGAAATTGCCCCAATTGAGCTGTAATGGATAATGTGACCATGGTGGTGGTGAAGTCTGAGTAACCACCCAGGGTTCACACAATTCAAACCCTCACTAATAGTAGCCCTTGTTTTGTCAGGTATAATGCATCAATCCAGGAAAAGACGTGCCACAGATTCCTCTGCTAGTGGGCCAGGGGGTTCATCCAGAGCTCGTGCACAGGCTAGTTCGAGCCAGTTTGACCGCACTCGGTTTGTCTCCAAAGCGGCTAAAGATAGATTTACTGCAAAGACATCCAAGAAGCTGGTGCCTGAAGTACACATTGACAGGCATGCCTTGCGGGTTGAATGCCCAAGTATCTGTGAAGAATTGAGGAGGCGTCAACTGAATATCTTCTTTAATGAACCGGAGGAGGGCAATGTACTGATGGTAAGAGAATTTTATGCGAATTGCCCGGACCATGTTGATAGGGTTGTCACAGTACGAAATACACCGGTGGATGCGTCTCTTGAGGCCATCCGCCGAGTGTACAGGTTGCCGGTCATCACTGGAGAGACGGATTATTACCAAGAGTATCAACGCCACCTGTCTGGTGGCAACCAATTATTGAAACAATTTGTGTGGCTGGCCGGGATCCAATATGGATAAAGCCGAGAATGACCCTGAACTCCCAATCTCTTACTTGGGAAGCTAAGTGTTGGCTTACAATCATCAACAGCCATTTGCTACCATCCAGCAACACTGGAGATGTTAATGGGCCAAGAGCAGCGGCAACGTTTATTATTTTGTAACCCTACCACGACTTTTTGATGTCGGATCGGCTCATTCACGACTGAAATGTTCATTGCTCCCCGAAATACTCAAAGGGGTTCTACTTCCCTTCCCTGGTCACCAAGCTGTGTCGTGCTTCACGAGTTCCTGAAAATCCCATAGTAGATGGGAGGTTGCCATTAAAAGCCCATTCAAGGCTAGCAAAATCACAGTTGGGAAAGAGCAGGCTGTAGTGGATGATGATGA